TAGTGGAGCCTCGCCACAATTGCGCAGCATTTGCGCTCTGTTGAGGCCTCCTCCGCAAGGTGAGGCCCAAAGCAGTCTGCGTAATCGGCCTGTACGGAGGGACGGCCCTGAGAGCTGGTGCCCTCTGAACCTTGTAGTGCAGTAAAAGTAATTGCATAGTGCATAAAAACAATTGATATTTATTTAAAAATCATACATTTCAGAATCAGAATTAGAGAATAATGAGTTAGGATATCAAAAACAATGACATCATTTAAAACAATAATTGATAAGTCACAATCGTCGTAAGACCGCCCCGGGATTCCACCGGGTCGTCTGCGCCGCGTTACGTATGCGCCACGGTTTGGTTCCGACCTACTCCTATGCTCCTCCAGCGTCAAACCCATGGTCAAACCCCACCGGGCGCGTTTCAGAAGCTGAGCGTCTTGCGTGCCGGCTCGCAGTTTTTGGTGATTTGGGCATATTTCCTGGACAGGCTACTTTGTACAGACAAAGTTAATAATAATTGTAATAGTCCAGTTATAAACGACATGAATCAAAGATGTGTTGCTGTATTTTAGTGGTAAAAATTATTTTATTTATTATTATTTCATTATTATTCTATAATTTACACAGTGCCTGTAAACCGGAGGAGAATGCTGCATTTCTCCTCGAAAGACTACGGAGGGATAGGGTCTGCAAAATTAGTTTATTTTGGGGATTGACACAAATCTTTCTTTCTTTTTTTTCTTGTAGGCCTATGTCTTTTAAGCGATTAGAAAAACCATTTGGAGTCAGTTATAAACAATATAAAATGAGGGCTTACTGCTTCTGCACTTATACAATAAATGATATTTACCAATAATAATGACCATATTAATCATGTCAGACAAAGATATGTTTGGAAAAATTACGACTTAAAAAAAAAGAAATACGCTATATATATCATAGTTAAAATATGAACGTAAAAAATCGGAATACATGTCAATATTGTTGTTCTTATTATCTTATTTGCTAAACGTTTTTGTGTAGTGCTTTTTATGTTGTTGTATTATTTTAAAATATGAACGTAAAAAAATCGGAATACATGTCAATATTTTTGTTCTTATTATCTTATTTGCTAAACGTTTTTGTGTAGTGCTTTTTATGTTGTTATATTATTTTATTACGCTTATTTATTAATGTTCACCACCACGTTTTCCTAGGACTGACGTTCTTAGGTGGGGTGATTCCGCTTTGAACAGGTTTTTCTATTGCCACTGTTCTTGTTTTTTTATGAACTGAATAAAGTTGCTTTAAAAAAAATTCAAAACATTTAAACCAATCAGAAGCGGGCTCTACTGTCTTTTCGGCCAATCAGATTCCACAGCATTTTCGACGCGTCAGAGAGTATAAATAACCCCCCCGAGGAAAATCACGTCAGTTACTTCTTACACTGGACCCATAAAGGCCTTGCTGTGAGAGATAACTTGGACTTTTCCTCTTATTCATCAAACTCCGTATACTCCACATATTCCGAAAATGGTGAGTACGATAGTACAGCTTTTGTCTACTGAAAGTATGTATATTCAACCAAATTCAATGCTCCGAACGTGTGTCATCATGCGAAAACGTAACAAGCTTACCGTTTACTCTTTAAAGAAGACGCATCAGATTTTAAAATGTTAACAAAAATGTTGAGGTGTAAGATGAAAAACCAAACTTCGTCATGTATATGTCGTTTAAACTGTGATGTTGATAAATTAAGTGTAACTCGACGGAACTAAGATGTCGCAGTGACGCATTTACAATCGGCGCCAATTGTTGGAAATGTATACACTTCCTGTCTCCTTTGTGGGCGGGTTTAACGTTTTTATATTTAAACAATTAAATATTGACACGAATGTAAAAAAAAAAAGTCTTTCAATTGCAGTTCATCGGGGCGTTTTCTTTTTTTTCTTACGTTTGAAATTTTTACTCGTCAATAGAATTAACGTGTTGCCAAATCTCGCGAGAGTTATTTTTGCTGCGACGTTTGTGTCGAACACGGTGTATGTTCGTGTCATGTTAGAGAGACAAGCGAACTGGGTCCAGTGTTAACTAAGTTTAGCATTGGGAGAGAGACGATTAATAAATGTGTTAACGTTCAGATATTTTACGCCAAAAGTGCCACCATTAATTGCCCTCAGGGGTGTGGCATTGGTGCAGCCCGTGTGACACAGAACATTTAAAAGCGTAATCTCCTTTTTTAATCCCGTCTGCATACAGCTGCGTCATTGTGCTTTTGGTATTAGACATATGAACAGTATTTAGCCTTATTTTTTAATAAAGGGTTTTCTCTTCAGATGACAAGTGTGTCAGGTAAAATGATATATAATTTGGTTATTAAAAGAGCCTTTATCTCTGGAGCAGTCCTCCACATGTGGCAATATGTTTGAATATATATTTTTAGATTTGCACAAGAATAAGTCAACTAAGGTTCCTTTATGATATTGGCTTAACAACCTTTTTTTTTCTCGTTACAGCGCGAGTGTCTGTCCATCCACGTCGGTCAGGCTGGTGTCCAGATTGGCAATGCCTGCTGGGAGCTTTACTGCCTGGAACATGGGATCCAGCCGGACGGCAGGAAGCCCGGTGACCAGTCAATTGGAGGAGGAGACGATTCCTTCAACACCTTCTTCATGGAGACTGGATCGGGAAAGCACGTCCCCAGAGCAGTTTTTGTTGACCTGGAGCCCACTGTCATTGGTAAATTCACATTAATTATAAATGATAAAAGTTCTGAAGGCTTCTTTTTATTTACCCCTCGTACAAAGCTTCCAATAAATTAATGCTCATTCTCCTTAGATGAGGTGCGCACTGGGACCTACCGCCAGCTGTTCCACCCTGAGCAGCTGATCACTGGCAAGGAGGATGCTGCCAACAACTACGCCCGTGGACACTACACCGTCGGCAAGGAGGTCATCGACCTTGTCATGGATAGGATCCGCAAACTGGTGGGTATATTTAGAACGGAAGTCAATTTATAATTTTGCTGAAGACTATTAAATGGAAATGAATCGGTGTATTGCCAAGTAGGTTTTCACATACAAGGAGTTTGCGAACATATATTGGTGAGTACCAAAGTAACAGCGAAAATAAGTATTGCAAAGCCAATTATCATAAATAATAACATATGTGACGTATATGTTTTTAAAATAAAGATCTGTACAGTGTTTGAAACAAAGACATAAGAATCTCATATCACTCTTTCAAACGTGAGCATATTTCCCTGATTCTGGCCCACTTGCATCGGCTTCCTCCACCCTGCGAAATTCAGTTTAAGATCCTCCTGATCACATTCAAAAGCCCTCCATGGTATGGCACCCTCTGATCTGTTTTCATTTAATCTATTGTATATGTTGACATGCTGTGCACTAATAAACCCTTTAATAATTAGCTGTGGGAACTGCACTTTTTTTGCTAAAGTTATTATTATTTGATGATTTTTTTCTTCCTTTGTTTCAGTCGGACCAGTGCACTGGTCTTCAGGGTTTCCTGGTTTTCCACAGCTTCGGAGGGGGCACCGGCTCTGGTTTCACCTCCCTGCTGATGGAGCGTCTGTCTGTCGACTACGGCAAGAAGTCCAAAGCTGGAGTTCTCCGTCTACCCAGCTCCCCAGGTGTCCACCGCTGTGGTGGAGCCCTACAATGCCATCCTGACCACCCACACCACCCTGGAGCACTCTGACTGTGCCTTCATGGTTGATAATGAGCAGTGCTTGAATTGGGCCGGTACTCACCGGTACGCAGTACCGGCACTTCTGATTTTTACCCATGTGGTACCGGCACTTCTTACTGAGTACCGGCAAGGTGCC